TGCAGATGTACCGATCTACCCAACACAGCGCGACTGGGGTCAGCCCGCATGCTGCATTGCATGGCGGAAGAGAAATGAGAACAGTACTTCCACTTATGACACCAACCGACCATGTCATAGACCGTATACGAGACCAACGATACAAAGCCAAGATGAGAAACGGACTGCGGCCACATAAACTTCGGGTAGGTGACAGTGTTATTGTGAAGCAGACGAAAGTCAACAAGCTGACGCCGACATTCAACCCTACACCTCTGAGAATCACCGAGGTTCAAGGCTCGAGAATAACTGCACGGGAGATAAACGGCACGTGGACCATCACGAGGGACGCGTCGTACTTCCGGAAGATTGCATCCGATACGCGGGCAGAAAACGAAGATGACCAGGACGCATCAGACGAGAGAGACGGAGAACGAAAACAGGGGGAACCAACAGGAGACGCCGGATGAAAGCACTGAGAAAGGGCAAAGACCACGACGGACAACACGGAGGCCAAGTTATTTAGAAGACTACGAAACTTAAGGGGGGTTGGACTATTATTGTAGTTGGGGAGAGATGTTATATGTTGTGTTACATTTGTTTATATTACGATCGGACTGTTATCGGGACAAATCACCTTTCGGTGTATGGGATTTAAGATAAAAGAAGACAACAACAGTTGTTTTGAATACGGACTCGATATAGAGTAAAATATAGTTTGTAAACGGGTTGTTTTAAGTAAATAAAGTATCCAAGAGTTTAGTACAACAGTAATAAATTTACGTGGTGTTTCCACAAACAAAACTATTATATTTTATCACCATGCAAACATACAAAGAACTTATAACGAAACGTTAGCTAATAAATTTTTTACTTTTATTATGTTTGGCTTAAAAGTTATTTGCTGGGCTCTGCTCTTTATCTTTAACCTAATCTCACGAGTAATTTTAATGTTTGTCAAGTGCAATTTAAAGATCAATATTAAAGCCCAGCATATGACTTTCAAACAAGACATAGCAATGAAGAATAAAATTTAGTTGTTTTACGTTCACATCACAATATCTTCGGAGTATTTAAATTATATATATATATATATATATATATATATATATATATATATATATATATATATATATATATATATATATATATATATATATATATATAAATATATAAAGGTAGATATTTGTCATGTTTGTTTCATGTTTTAAGCCCATGTAGCGGTCTCTCTTCTTTAGTGTATCAATCTACGGGGATATATATATATATATATATATATATATATATATATATATATATATATGTATATATATATATATATATATATATATATATTTACAAAACACTACTAACGGTAAGACGGTTACAAAATTCAAATAAATAATTGGAAAGTCATATGCTGGGTTTTAATCTTTATCTTTCAGCTTGGTTTGTCCAACGCATTTGACAGGTTTTAATCTGATCGGTCGGTCATATTTAACAAGCCTCACACTGACTAGCTGAGCTACTGTAACCTTCAAATTTTCGTAAAACACAAAATTTAGACAATGTCTTGCACACATTCTGGGATAATCTAGAACTGTTCATCTTCAGATGCAACCGACGACAATCCACGCGTGTACGTTGTCCCGCGTGTTTCACTGCCCGTGTTTATTTCCCGATTCCCGAACACAGGCTTGATGCAGACGTATGTACTGTTAAACTTGACAGCGTGTTGAGTTGTTTTATCGTTAGAATAAGACTGATTTCTCTGCTGACATTTGACCTGTGTCTAAAAAAGGCTGCCTTCAGGCCTCCCACAAACATATTTTGCGTGTTTGGCGTAAAGTTTAACGCGAAAGTCGAGGAAGCGTGTTGTAAACAATCGTCCCACGAAGTTACTAACTACATGAGTCAACCCTTCCGAACTACAAGAAATATATGGGGTAAGTTTACGTTGTCTGTACTGCTGTTTCACTGTTTTATTTCTCAGCTGGTCGTGGACGTCCGTAATAGATCAAATTCCCCTGTACTGCTATAATTTGTCATAGGGGATAGCATCATAGCCGCTTCGCGATCGGCACATGAATTTTTGCACGGAAATTTCCACCGGATTAAATTTGTGTAAACATTCAAAATTTCTATGTATTATTCAATTAAAGTTGTCCTTTTGTATTAGAATATATGGGCAGCACAGCCTGTGATCTCTTGTGTTTATAAGTCGGCTAATATCTCCACAAACCGCAACAATTCCGGACATTTTCGCACAACAATAATTTGTCATATTTTAAATAATCAGTGACATTTAAACAAGCCATTATGGCATTGTCTGTGAACGCAGACGGAAAATATTATTAAAGAAGTTTCTTGGATTTAACGCTTAGGCAAGTAACAAAATATATCATGTTTTTAATAGAATGTCTGAAAATTACTTTGAATATTTATTTGGGTTTTTAGTGCACAAATTTGACTTAAACTCGCGCGAAATTTGCGTTTCATATTGAGGGAAAAACCACTTGCGACTTTATTTGTTTACATCGATGGGGGTGCGTTTCTGTACTAATAATCGCTACAAAATGTCAGTATTATATTTCTCACCGTTTAAGGACGTTTAAAAGATGCTTAGGAAGACAATTCGATGATTTTGTGAGCTTTTAGGAAAGGCTGTCTTCTATAAACCCATGGAAGGTTTTTACAGCGATTATTTATACAAGCTCATATGACATTGCATTGTCGGGTATATTCAATTTGGGTATTAGCCAGAATTAAACTGTAATTAATCCGCCCTAGCCAAAGTAATAATAAAATATGCTGTTTGCCTTTGTCTTATTGTCAGGAAAGATTTAGAATGACAGCTTTTATTAATTTTACAACCATGTTGTTGACGAATTTTTATTTTTCTCCAGAGGAAATTTATTTAGGAGTGTCTGTGACGTTTTTTACAGCGGAAGATTTTAAGAGTTTGAAGTGCGACCGTCTACCCTTCTAAGTCTTGTGGACGATTATATTGGTTAGAATTTTTTAAATTGAGGAAACGTTGCTGCTCATTTGTGTGTTTGGCATTATAAATTTATAGCAAATTGCGTTTAACCAACCACAATAAATTGCTATCATAAATCTTGGTACTGTAACGATAATTTTCTTTGTCTTTATAAAATGTTATTGTATCTGTTGAATCTGAATTATGTTATATTCATTTTAAGCAATAAACAAGGGAATGAGGGATATATTGCATATTTTGTAAAATTGTTTTGATAATTTGTCATAGATGTTTATGTTGGCAATTTTCATCACATAATTTTCTCCATTTTTGGACAGTACAAATATTCTATGCTACAAATATGTGCTCCTTTAATATGGCTTCACTTAAGATTTTCAAATGGTATTACAGTAACAGCGCCTAGAACATTTGAAATTTACAATGTCAACAGGATATAATTTGTGAATGGCATTCATAATTGCGACTTTAAAGTAACAAATTAAGTTCATAATATAATTATGTGTAACAAATTAAGTTCGCCGTAATATAATTTTACGAGTCTATCACCGCGTTTGGTTATATTCAATATGTGTTGCTATTAAAGTGACTGTTTAACGAGTCTCTGCCAAATAAAGCCCTTGTTTGTATACGCTTGGGCAATGTTTTATGCGCCAATACAGAACGATTTTGGAATTTGAGCGACGAATTTGGTAAAAATTCCGGGGTGGTAATTGTGGCTGTCGGGCAAGCGCGTAGGTTGAATATAATTTGTTTTGCGAGTAATATATTTATACTGTACGTTGTGTCGGAATTTTCATAGCCATATCTGGGATTTGGCCATAACTGGCAAGCAGGCTAAATTTTTTAAGTCTCAGTAAATAAAGCGAGCCATCAAATATACATTTCACAGGTTTTCGGTTTCCAAGCAGTTGTCAATGGTTGCTTATCAATTGAGAGTTTTCAAGTAGGTGTTGTATAAAATTATCTGTCGAGTGTTGCAGTGTTGTGGTGATTCAATATAATGATATAAGGAGAATTTAGACCACTTTAGATGCAGCTCAATCAATGTGTAAACATTAATTGCTATCACAGATGAGTTATAAGGTTCTTTCACCTCGCAGATATTTGCCCCTCACTATTTTTGTGTAGTACAGGTTAACCCATGCTGTGAGAGGTTATTATGCACAGGTACAATTAATTATTACCTGGTCGTTGTTGTCGTATGCTATTAGGCTATAATCCATCAGATATGTGTGTGTTTAAAACGAAATTTTTAGGGGACATGTATTTGAATACGGTAATTAGTTCACAGTTAGTATCAGAGGCTGGCCTGTTTTGCTTTATGACACAGATGTGTTGGCCAGACCCCTTTTGTTTAGATATCAGCGCTTGTTATCATAATTAAATACTTTGTTTTGCACTGTAGGTTTTTGTTTTATAGGTAGTCTGTGAAGTACTTAGTGTGATTTTTTCGTCCATATAGATTTGTGATGACTGCTGAGGGCTGAATTCATGGTGTGAAATATACTTTTATGCTGACATCTTACCACTGCAACATTGACAACTTTTTCATTAATTGTGTAAGTGCAATTCGAATATATGCAGTATCATAAGGCATGTAATATATGATGAAGGGTTTTGTAGATGTCTGGATCTATGGAATAAGTTGCCCCAAATCATAACATTACCCATACCTTGCATTGGTATCACCTGGCTTAGTATATATACATGAACTTGTGGTTAAAGCTCAATTGACAACCGGAATCTGTAACTCAGTCGGTTAGAGTGCTGCATCGGAGTCACAGGGTTGGAGGTTCTATTCCTGCCTGAGGGCATGGTATGAAACTGTTTCTGAGGGCATATATCATGAGGGCATATCATAAGGGAGTAAAGAGCACAAAAGTAACCAAATAGGTATATATTAAAAACGAAATGACAGATTAAATTGATATACAATTTTTCCTTCCCAAAAGTATGTCACTTTCACTAGTGGCATAGCCACGGGAGGGGGGAACCACCTTCGAGATATGTTTAAATCCATTGAGAAACTGGGGGGGGGGGTAACACTGATCCGATTTCATGTCCAGCTTATTATTTGCAATCTAATAACTGAAGATGCAGGCATTCTTGACCAAATTATGATGTTATAATCTAATGAATTTTGTAAAATCTCACACCAGTCCCCAAAATGCACGAAATGGCGTTTCAGAGGCTCTGAATTTCAACATTTTTCCGGGGGAGTGTGCCCCCGGACTCCCTTACAGTGTTTGCGCCTTTGGCGCTCAAATTGCCCCCCCCCACTTTGTGGACCCTGGCTATGCCAGTATGCCCCTGACTTTCATTAAACTTTGGCTAGTACACAGCCTCATTTTCATGTACAATAAATTAGTTAAAGCATAACGTCATGTCAATCATGAAAACGAGCCTATATAATGGCCAATATAACACACTTTCCGGAAAGCATGTAAATAGATTGATAGTATCTGAAAGTTGTTTGTATGGTGTGAAGCACTTTCTAAGGCAGCTAAGACATTTCCCTGAAAAAGCTAGTGACCAACTCTGCAGTCTGGTCATGGGAGGGAGCTAGCTAAGTACAAACTCAGATGAATTTCATGAGACTGGCAGGCACCAGCCTGAAAATTTCAAACATCTGGGCTTAATGAACACTACTGGTAAAGTATACAATATAAATATATTTTCCACCAACCTGAAAATTTACATTTATAAGATGAAAATCTGTTTAGAAAATGTCATTCATGCCATTAACCCAGGTGGTCGAGCAAGCCCAAGTATTACACCCTTTGGACCGATTATGTCACAAACAAACCTCTTTATGGCCTAGCTAGCTCATTCTTATCAATTGTAAGCATAAGCATACAAGGCGGGGGGCAAGAAATATTTAAGGTAATAGTCGAAAGTGGGCCTACTGTTGGGATCATTTGGTCATTTCTGCATAATTACCCGGCCCCTTAGAAGGGCTGCCAAGGGGTTGTGCGGGGGCTCAGGGCAAAACTTTCCAAGGGGGCCCATATGACATCATAATTGTAAAAGGGGAGAAACAGTGTTATATACAGTATTACACTTGTTTTATTACATATTATCTGACACTAACGCACCTTGGATTTATATTCTTTGTTAATTAATAAGCAATCTTGTATCCAGGGATGCCGGAACGATGTGAAGGCAAGGGGGGCAGATTTTCGTGAAAGGACACTTTTGAATTGATATATACTAAGAGATGTTTGCAAAACATCGGGAGTTGAACTTCGCCTAATCATGTTTTCTATTTATTGGATGATAGGGGTGTGAGGGGGTTCTATGCCAGGCGACTGTGCTATCAATGCTTGAAGCTCGATGACTGCATTTCTTGCGTTTTCTGAAGCAAATTCGTAAAAGAATTGCACTAACATTTCTGACAATTCGCTATTTCGCTAAGGCAATCCTTTAAATTGAAAGGGCACCTTTGCCCCCCCCCCCTTGCCCCTCCTGGTAAAGAGCAACCCCCCCCCCCCCCCCCCCCCCAGTTCCGTCGTCCTGCTTGTATCAAGAAATTTTAAGGGCCTTCCCGCTAGCTCATTGAGTGACAGCACTCTCCCCTTGACGAGTATAATCTTCTGGCGTTAGACAGAGTAGGGAGCATTGGGGCGCATTGCCACTTAATGACCGGTTAAAGTGGAAGACTCTCCCCTTGACATGTAAAAACGTCTGGCAGAGTAGAATAATAAAGTAGCGTGCACGTATTTGGGCACATTGCAGCTTTATGGGTCGTGTATACGTACTGCATATTTTTGGGGAATTTTAGGTATTGAAAATATGGATGTAGAAACACTGCGCTTGGAACGGGACGAGAAACGAAGACAAAGACGTGAACGTATCAGACGAATTCTGGAAGATGATCCAACTTCAACAAGCCGAACCAGAGAAGAAACAGATTCGTCAAGGACTACGCGAAGCGCTGCTACATCGAGAAGACCCAGAGAAAATATTACAACTTCAACCACATCGGAAAGAACACGTAATAATAATTATTATATGATAAAACGTCTAGACAAGTGTCCTAGTGGTCTTTTGCAGAACGCTAAAAATGATAGAAGCATGAATGAGTGGATAACATGGAGAACAGTAGGATTTTCAAGACAACAAGAAGACAATCATGGAACATTCCGATAACTGAGTTCTAACTCGATAGCACTATTATGGTTATCGAAGTGAGAAAATTTTATCTGTTTTTGGTAATGGAAACGCCACGTACATGTAAATTTTTATATGCAAATAATATATGTACGTACAGTGGTGTTTCCACCAACCAAACCAAAACTGATATTATTATTCACCATGCAAGACACCAAGGATTTAGCAAGGAACTTCTAGTTTTGCATGGCGAAAATAATTGGCTAACATAATTTTAATTTTTTAATTTTTAATGTCGTAGTTTTGTATTTTGTGACCTCTATAAACGGACACCTCTTTTAAACAGACATGCCTTTTAAGGAATTTAAGCAGACAGAATTGTCACAGAAACGACTGATCAGAATGTTAACATATTTATGAGGTCCCAAAGGTGTCCGTTTAACAAGGGGTAAACTGTATCAGTAAGTGCAAACGAGGAGGGCCAACTCACGGAAGTTGACCACCATCTGCTGCCCTGTACATTAACCCATGTTGAAGCCTACGACATTGCAATTCTCTAGTATCAACAGTTGGGCCCGATTAAGTAGATTTTCAATGTGACTCTTTAGGTTATTCGCATCGTGATCATGGAGACACCTCGCAAGAAAGTTCAACACGAAGTGCAAGGACAAGTCGCCTGAGGGAAAATACTACAGCTACTCCATCCACCCGTAGTCAAACACACACTTCGGAGGAGACCACGACAAGGACCACTACTACGACAAGAAGATTGAGGGAGCCATCGACGCCTTCAGAGAGAACAACTACTCGTTCAGAAAGAACAACTCGTTCAAACCACATCTCTGAGGAGAGCCCAACACGAAGTACCAGGACAACTCGAACCTCGAGGCAGACTACGGACACAACAGCTGGCGAGACTGCGGTAGATAGCATCAGAGCGAGACGCGAGGCAAGGCGGAGAAGGAATCTAGAACATGATGGTAAACAAAATAAAATTAGTGTAGAAAATGGCGAAGTGGATAAAGCTACAAAATCTGAGACAGGGGATCGTCGCAGGATTGCTAGGAATAAAAAGGATGCTGAAGATAGTGAGTTACCAGTAGATAAGCATGCGAAAGCCGATGATTCAAAGGTTATTGAGAAAAGTAGGGATGCGGTAGACAAACACGCTAGCAAGGATACTGGCGATAATGTCGGTGACAGCTGTGATCTCGGCAGAGTGGAAGATTCTTCACCTGAAGAAAATAAAAGTCAGGTCAAAGAAGATACTTCTGATAAATCTATGACTGAAGAACAAGACCAGGAATCTACCAAAGGAGACATTAAACTGACTGGAATTGAAAACTTGGATGAACATGCCATGGTCAAAGAGCTTGATGCTGTTGATAAAGATTATACTGAAGTAGAAGCAAAGATGAGTGAAGCATCTTCGGACGACTCAAGTAGTCGAAATAAGCAGAGGAAAGGTGAACGGCCAAGGAGTGTAGAAAGTGATGGAATCGATAACTCTACGACAGCTGGGTTATCGGTAATTGGTGGTGAAAATCAGGATGAAGTCCACAGTGAGAACAACACTGAGGAGATTAGGCATGTGATTGAAATTGAAGATGATTTGGAGGTTAAAAGAATGGAAGAGACAGTTGATAAGAAAGGCAAAGAGGATGAAGAGAGTCCCAAGACTGGAGGAAAACAGGATAATGAACCTATTGGTACTGGTGAAAATGTTGAGGTTACAACTATCGCTGATGAACTACCGAAAACCAAAGAGGGAAGCGGAATCTCGGATATATCCACCACTGAGGATAGACAAACCTCAGATATGTCTGCCTCCGATGAACGTGATGTTGAAGTCAAAGTTGTTGAGCAAACACTGGAAAATTCCCCACTTGAGTCAGTCCCAGATGAAACAATTTCCACCAAGGAGATAGCCGGTGCGGATAACGGATCCGTGGGCGATGGAACATCAGCGCCTGACAAAGGACTAGTGATCCTCGAAGAACTTCCCGAAATGCCGTTAGTGTTGGATGGTGAAATTACCGCCGACAAATCGTCCATTCCAACTGATGGAAAAGCAGGCGAAAATGAACTAACCAAGGATGAGGCAAGTTTTGCTTCAGAAGAAGTTGCTATTCAGTTAGAATGTTCTGTAGATGGTGTACCTCAAGGTTCAGAGAAAATGCCAGATGATCTTTCGCATAAGGTAACAGAAGAACAAAAAATTGTATCACCACACACCAGTCCAAGGAAGAGCAAGTTAAAGGCGAAGTCCGACGAAGCAGACACGAAAAGTAGTAAGACACCAACGAAGAGCGAATCCGAAACGAAGAATGAGCGATTGAGAGCGAAGAGCGATATAAGTAGAACAAAGAGTTCTGATGTTGGAACGAAGACCGACGAAGGAGAAACGAATAAAACGAAACCCTCGGCAAAGAGTGATTTAAACAGAACAAAGAGTGCAGAGTCGGGAACAAAGGCTACTGAAAGTGAAACAAAGACCGATAACGTTTCCACAAAGCGTGATATAGCTAGAAGTAAGAGCGCCGAATCGGCAGGGAAAGCCAACGACGATAAACCGAAGACTGACGACATTGGAGCGAAGACCTCGCGTGTGGGTAAACTGAAGGTGAGCGATGATGCTTGGAAGAAAAACGTGCGTAAAAAGAGAGGGGTTCCAGACGTGGACAGAGCAGCGGGGTTGATGGCATTGGGACGGGCGGGGAAGATAAAAGATAAGATGAAAGGCTGTGAGGGCCGGGATGTCCAGAGTGCTGAGCAATGGAAGAGAGAAGTCAAGAAAGGATCTCGAAAACACAAGTCTTTTGATGAAGAAACTGAGAAGGAATTGAGAGAATTGTCAAGTAAACGTGAGTTGAAGAATATTGTTCAATCTTGTGAGGAGAAAGATATGGAGAGTGCTGACACATGGAAACGTGAGGTAAGTTGAGATGGCTATGACGTATCTTAAATTGTTCTCCCCAGACGTCCAGTATCGTCTGTATCTAAACCTGACTAACTTTATCTGTACTGATAGCTCTATGAGTTCTAAATCGTTGTCATCAGGGCCTTTTTATGTCTGCGCAGTTGCCTGGGAAGCTCACGCTCTTATGGCTGTTTCTATTCCATCTAATATCCCGCATCGGTGGGACAAAACTGCAGAAACATGGTGACTTCAAAAAATTTCTTGGTGGTAATTGAACAAATTTTACGACTTTAATAGTGTCTGTTTAGGTCTATTAGTGTTTATGTTTTGTTCGTATCTGCCTATAATACCATGTTATAGGTCAAAATAGGCAAGAAATGTCCATCCCGGGCAGGTGGGATGAAGCCTTCGTAATAATGGAAAATTTTATCCCACTTGACTGAGATCCCACCTAGCACAAAGTGAGAATCTCACCTGACCGGGGGCGGCTCGTTTCTCATGAATGTGAACACAAATTTCATTTTGTACACGTTATCCAGTGCATGCGGATCTTATTCGGGCGAGATTCGTAGTGAGCTGGGCTTATTTGAACAGGCCCTTAGAGGTCCAGTAAGGGTCATCTCTTTGCTGGCCTAGTATTATTGCAGAATCGCAAAGGCGAAAGGCAACAGCAACTACTTTGTCATTATATCCCATTTATTGATCTGCATTCATAATACTGTTATCTAGGTTAAAAAGAACGCAAGGAAACACAAATCACTTGACGAAGACACAGAGAATGAACTACGAGAGATCTCAAAGTCAAGCATACTAAAAAGCCGTATTAAGGAATGTGAGGAAAAAGACAAGGAAAGTGCGGATGCATTGAAGAAGGAAGTTAAGGCAGGAAGCAAGCCGAACGATCCCGATGCTGAAACGGGCGTCTCCGAAGACTTGAAGGAATTCTCGGGAAGGGGTCGTCTTAAAGACTTGATATCGTCTTGTGCCGAGCGAGATGAGAATAAGGACAAGTCATGGGAGAGTGCAAAACAGAAAGTGAAATCTGCCGATGAAGAAGCAGAATTAACAAGTTTAACTGCGGCAAAGAGTAAGATTATTCAACAGGTTAGTGTTTTATGTAGTTAGCATACTTTTAGTTTGTCCATCGCTGTCTGGGTTTCTTGTCTATTACCCGTATGGGCGATGCCGTGACGAGAAGGCCCTTTGAGTTGTTCATCGGAATCGTACTACCGTAAGTCTTATATTGGGCCCCCCTCTCAAATAAGCCTAGTACCCGCTCTTAATCTTTTATAAGCCACCCTCACCTTGAGACACTGCGCGCGGGCTATACCCTCACCATTTTCTGTACCTTCAACCCTTTGGCTTCAACTTTTCCTTGACAAGTCACTCAGGCCTTAAAATATCGGTTGGTCACGGACATTGTCCGACCCATTCGTGAAACTGTCCGACGTAGAGAGGAAACCACCGGACATTCTGTCCGACCAAAGTGAAACTGAGGTTTATTGGTTGTCCGACCTAAGTGTATTGGTGTCCGACCGAACTGTAGCTTTGTCCGACGTATAAATCAAAATGTACCCTAGCCCAGGACTAGATGCTTGTATGTTAAATGGAAATTCAGAGTACTATTGTATAAAAGGTGAACTGGAAATGTTGTTTAACGTATAGTCTAGCGCGGGGCGGCGAGCGAAATGGTGAAGTGGAAAACGGGCTTAAGTTGTCGAAGTCTTTTTTAATACTGCTGTTCTGGCAAGCAAGTTAATTTTGGCTTGGAAATAAGTCAGAAAGAAACAAATTATTTAATATCTTTACAACATTTACCGTTTATTCATTATTTTGTGTCATTCAGACTTATTTCCGAGTCAAAATTGAACTGAAGGTCATCGGACATATGTCCGACCCAAACTCAACGTCACCGGACATTTTGTCAGACGGCCCTGGGAAAGATATTTTAAGGCCTGGTCACTTGATATAAATTGAGTTTTTCACTCCTTAATGAGCGGACTTCCCAACAGGCTATTGCCAAATTCATAGGGGATCCGAGGTACCTACGATCCTTATACGAGAAGGCGCGAAGTCTAACCATTCAGTGATGTCAGTGTAAAGGTAGCCCTTTTTCTCAATTATTTTAAGACCTTGAATGGAGGACCGATCAAGTATTGAACCCGGGTCTCCCAGCTTGAAAGGCAAGCGTGATGACCACGACACCACAAGAGCTGGTCAGTTTTGACCTGAAGGCTACCACTGATAAGAGTCTGGTCAACGAAAATTTGTCGTATGGAACAAACTCTGAATAGAAGTTTCATCTTGAAACTCAATATTTGAGATATACAAAAGGAGGCAAGATTCAAATTTTTAATCTTGTTTCCTCTTGTTTGTTTCTTGTTTATCTCGTGTTTATTGAGTTTTTAGATGGGTCTTCTATTAATCAAGAAAAACTTATTTTAAAACATTTTTTAATGGTTTTCACAGTACGAAGAAATGGACAAACAGAGCGCAGAATCGGGCAAGAAGAAAATCAAATCTGGCGAAGGAGCAAAATCCTTTGATGAAACAACAGATGAAGAATTGAAGGAGCTAGCGAAGACTGTGGATGTAAAGACGAAGATTCAAACAACGCTGGAGGAACAAGGGAAACTAGAGGAGAAGCAAAATGATCTACTTGAAGATGAGGAGTTGAAAGAAATTAATATAAAAGGAAAACTGGAAGTGTTTAAACAAGAAAGTGATAAACATACTGCGGAACATAAAGTAAGTTGATTCGTAGATGAAAATTTGGCGCACGTCTGTTTCGCTCTGCTCTGATTTGATTTGTGAGGTTTGCTTTCTAGTTTGCTCTGGTTTGCACATTCTCACCAGGTCTTGTCTGGCAAAATTCTGATCCTTCCTCGTTCGCATCTTATCCGATCTTCAGTTTTAGTCCAGTCCTGTCTAAACTTACGGCTAGCCTAGTTTGACCTGTTTTGGCATGCCGTAATGGCGTCACGACCAGAAATTGCACAGAAAAATGGCCATCGTAGACTTTTTCTTTTGCTTTACTTGGACTTATTTATAACAAAATGAAGCATGAAAATTTGTGCTTTGAAAAGTATTTTTCATTATGCTTGAGTCACACATGTTGTATTTTGGCTTTAGCCTTTTATTTGCCTCCAATTTCTACCAATAAATCAGAAACATTTGCCGACTATGTCTTGAAATAACTCTGTAGTTCGCTTCATCAATATTCAGTGTACGTTTGCATGTACGATTTGACACAATTAGCCTAGGTTAGTAGTAATTTGTGGCCGCAATTTCCGATCATGAAAAGGCTTGTCTTTGCTGTCAACTCTGTGGCCTGGGTTCAATGCCTGCAATATATTATTGTGTAGTTTCTCGAGTTTTCTGTAATTTCGCCTCAGTTGTATTGAGTAGAGTGATCCTGGGCTTCACGTTTCCAAACACATCTCTGGATACACCACTGTTCTCCTGTGGTAGAACTGGACCGGTATGGGATGGGCTTTTTTTTTGCCACATGCGATAGCAATTACAATATTGTCATCGGTTTGTGTATTTTATTTCATAGGCTAGAACATCGCCAAGTAAAACGTCAAAAGCGGATGGCGGCAGAAAGTCTCCAAGCAAAACAGAGACCAGTGGTAGAAAATCACCAAATAAAGGGAGAACATCACCGACTAAAGGAGATAGTGGTAGGACCTCGCCGACTAAAGGGGATAGTGGTAGGATCTCGCCTACTAAAGATCGTCCCAGATCATCGAGTGGTAGAGTGTCTCCAAGCAAGGATAAGGCCAGGACATTCTCAGCTATAGGGGATAGCAGTGGTCGTGTCTCACCTACTAAGGATCGTAGTAAGACGTTGGATGATAAGAGTGGTCAGGCAAGTATAAGTCAGGATAAAGGTAGGACATCCTCGACAGTAGGTGATAACAGTGGTAGGGTGTCGCCTACTAAGGATCGTAGTAGGATGAAAAGGGATAGCGGACGAATCTCACCAACTAAAGACAGTACACAAACTGGTAGAACTTCACCCACAAAACGGGATACGGCTACGGGTAGAATCTCACCTAGCAAAAATGAGACACCTTCAACTAAACGCGATACTAAAGGACGGATATCGCCAACGAAGGATAGCAATACGCCGGCCAAGTCAAAACTTGATAGCATTCGAGCAAATCTTATGGATGGCGGGAAGGGTAAACCGAAAAGCAAGCGAGAAAGCTTGGATAGGGTTAAGAAAACTACTAGTATCCAGGACAAAATCGCCGCTTGTAAACAAAGAGATAAAGCAGCCCCGCGAAAAATCGAACTCCCGAAAGCGCCTTCGAAATCAAAAACAGAGCCTGAGAAGAACACCCCGAATGCGGGTAGTGTGAGTGGAGAGGCTGGCAGGTCTAGCGAAAACGGGGAACCTGTGCCAGTCAATCGTGAGGGAGAGCAGTTTACGACCATTGAGGAGGAGATTCAAGGAGCTAGCATCAAAGATGCGTTGTCCTTCTGGAAAGAGCCTGGAGCCGAGAACAAATCTGAAGTCCAAGATGAGGAAGCGGTTGACGTGGATATCAAAGGAAAGATGACGTATTGGGAATCTCCGAAAGAAGGCGAAGATACGACGACGGGTCGAGATAGTCCGCCCAAGGACTCGGAGAGACCACCGATTGTGATCCTGGGTAATATAAAACAAGGTAATATGTATTTCATATAGATGTGTATAGGTTATATAGAATATTTATGTTAGACAGTGGCGAAGCTAGCCAGAGGGACTTGGTCTACTATGCGTAGCTTCGGTGGCCATTGTGGATTCGATTCTCGCGACTTATGACACTTAGTATGTGATATGGTTAATGCTCTGCCTCAGATCGTTGGTTTTCTCCAGATACACCGGTTTTCTCCTACAAGGAATGTTGACAGGGTGGGTTGGGATAAGCACCAAACTGATATTTCCACCGTAGCTTTACTCCGTGACCAGGCATGAGTCATATAATTCTGATTCTCTGACAGGTTGGCAAAAAAGGAATAGAAAGCTCAACGTATCAGAATTCATCAAGGAACTCCTGAGTTCAAACTGTAAACGACGAGATTTGAAAGATATTCAGGATGTAAAGTCGGAGACGAAGAAATATTTGGCGGGAGGAATGCATGCCGAGGAGACTGGAACGAGTGCGAGTGAGAAGGCGGATGAGCAAGATGAGAGAGTGACAAAGGATAAAATTGTGTTGGAAAACAGAAAGAATACCAAGAACGATTCTGGAGAAATCAGCGACAAAAAGTAAGAGCAATTTGACTTAAGTCAGATCCTCACTACGACGCAAGCATAAGCACAAGCATAAATTAAAGCCTGCTTTACAATAGCAATTTTGTCGGCGATTTCGTGTTTCTGACGGATGCAAGTGAGTGAACTCGCACACAAAAGTATAGAGTCGCTTTTCAGAAGTGAACAATTCTAACTTTTTTTTCATGTCATTCGTTCGATCACATTTGCCAGGAGGAGAAAAATTGCCGACAGAATCACACGGCACTTCGTGTAACAGGACACGTTACTTAAATCTTGTCTTGATTCAAGGCTTTAGTAAAATAATACAAAGTAAAGATAATACCAGTAAAGTTTTTTAATACTAATCAATCTTTGTTAACACAATTAGGGCTGATGATGAATTTTCTTTTGATGACGTGGTGAATCCTGACGAAGTTAAACAGTAAGTGTTTTGATTTCTGCTTTAAATCATAGATTAAGTATGGACAGATGTATAAAATATAATACAAAACATAATCCGAAGATAAGCATCTTGAAACCCAAAATATGAGTCAAACAAGAAAGTGAGTGAGTAATATTTCGATTTTATTACAAAATCATTATCAGACTAACTGTTAGTCTGATAACGATTTTGTAATAAAATCGAAATATTACTCACTCACTTTCTTGTTTGACTCATATTTTGGGTTTCAAGATGCTTATCTTCGGATTATGTTTTGTATTATATTTTTTGAAATTGTCGGCTGGTATTGGTTTCGGATGTATAAATTCAGTAAAAAAGTTGTCCCATGGTCGCCATCTTCCTAGCCCGTGTCGCTCACGTGATTACTCGTCATTTGGTAATACGTCATTGCTTTCAAGAATGCTTACAACACCTTTTCTACAACTTTAATTGCTTTCATAAACTTTGAACATTCAACAAATGATGCTCTTGATTGTCTAATCCATAAATTTCGATCCAAAAAAGCCGCAATAAGTGTCAGCAAGTGTCATGGCGTGAGCATGACGTGTACATCTAGGGAAATTTGAGGACAAAGTCACGAAGTCCTATTAAGTTCCACCTCTGGTATATACTTAATCTGTGTCCAAATACAGGTCTTCACCAACCATCCTTTTATAATGTTCACATCCTTTTTTAGACTGCGAGATTTTTCTAACTTCCGACGTCAAGTTCGACCAACTAACAGACGTGCTGCAAAATCAAATCCTGTCAGGAAACTTCAGCAACGTGAAGATTTGAAAACTGGAACCGAGGTTAGTTTAAAGAACTTTCCATCAACTAACATAAGCGCAAAACTACGCGATAACGGATACTCAAAGTTGTTGTCCTGGAGTTGGTTGCCGGAGAACCGGTTAGTTTAATCCTGGGATAGCTTCTCGACATCTTCGTTATAAACTTGACAATGCTTTCCCAGAAATATTGTCTCGATCAAAATGATGTTTTTTTTTAAATATGAACAAGTATGCAAAAATGCACTAAGCAAAGCAGTGGATTACGTTCCAGCCTGGAGTTGGCGCTAATCGAGCTTTGAACAACCGGACGCACAGATAAGAAGGTTATCTTTCATACGGTGCATGTAGTCAATGGGCAAAATTTGTTATAGAAACTGAAAAAATTCTGACCAAAAAACTTAGTAAAATAATGCACCCGCAGTGTCTCAAAATATTGAGGAAAATTACTCAAATTTTGAGAAAATGTACCCATTTTTTCAATAAAGTAAATCTTAACTCAAAAAATTGAGTACATTTGTTAATAAATTTGAGTAATTAAATTCGAATTTTGAGTCACTGTGGGTGCACTATTGAGTCAAAATACTGGGTTTACAGTGTATAACAATATTATCCGTTACTGAAAATCCCAGATAGACCATAAGGTGAATAATGTTTGCCCGTCTGCCTATTATACAGCGCTTGCGCATGCATTTAAGAGTTCTTCATACCGTTTAAATCTTTATTTCTTCTTTCTTTAAAGGCTTTCAATGACGAAGACATTGACGATGATGATGAAGAAGATGCGCCGCTCAAACCGACTGCAATAGGAAGACTGGGTCGAACGATAGAACCTGGAGATAGAAGTAAGATATTAGAGACCCTATAAGATTGACGTTTACGACAGACTCCGCTAACCGCAAATTTCAAAATCGTATTTTGAGCTCAACTGTTAGCTGTTCGAAGTTAGGGTAATTTGCGCGTTAAAATTGTAGCATGTCGAAAACTTGTAGAACTTACCTTCAAATGTGATTTGAAATTTACCGTTTGCTCTTACCGGTGACGGTCAAGGCTACTTTCCTACGTCCATCTTTAATATCTTTATTGATATATTTTACCTTGCACAATTGTATTGTATCCAGTGGCGTAGCCAGCCCGACAACTTAGTCCCGCTACGCAAATTCAAAATTTTTATCATTCATTTCTTTAGAAATTGATTGTTTTCACAGTCAATCAACACGAAAATATTTGCGTAGCGGGCTGGCTACGCTACTGATCGATTCCATTCCAGCATCATCCGAATACGTTGCAGCATCATAGGGATGCACAATTCCGCCACTATTGCAAATTATATAAAAATGCCATGAATCACTAAAATTTCAGTTTGCATAGTGTTTCAATAGATGACAATTACAATTGTTACTAGTGAAAGGTATAGTAAAAGTTACGTTCTTCACATTTTCTATTTATGTTGTAGAATCTAAAGACAACAATAAGTTTGCTATAGATGCTCTGGCAGGTTTAGCTGCGAAGGAAGACGTTTCTAAAATCACTTTAAAGAAAACGTCAAAATCGAAAACTGGAGTGAGTCAGGAGAAGAGTGAATACGATGGAACAGCGCCTGTCATGCTTTTGCAAATTAAAGGTAAATATGTGCCAAGTGTGAATGGAATAGTACCATAACATACCCTCAATATGTTCTTGTGAGTCCTGTCTCGAGAGGACTCACGAGCATAATGCGAGTCCTGTCTCGACAGGACTCACAAGCATTCATATGGAACTGCATTTAATAACATACCCTCAATACCATAACATACTCTCAAATTATAAGAACATACCCTCACAAGCATTCAGATGGAATGGTATTGTATGGTGGCAATACTCACAAGTATTCAGATGGAACTGCATTATAACATACCCTCAATACCATAACATACTTTCAATTTATAAGAACATACCTCACAAGCGTTCAGACGTAATGGTATTGTATGGTGGCAATACTCACAAGCATTCAGATGGAACTGCATTCTAACATACCCTCAATACCATAACATACTTGAACAACATTTACACTGTCTTGAAGTTTCCATATACAAAAACCCTTCAACATTTTTCGAAACACTCTATATTCTGTTAGATTTCGTGATGGAACTATAGCAAGTATTATTCATAGGTTGCTTTGAGGAAATCGATTTTCGTAATCTTGCCTAAAAACCCCTATACATTTCTCGCCATATTATAGGTCATCGTCACATGCAAACACGATTGGTTGAACCAAGTGTTGAGTCATTAAACTCGGCCGATTCATTCTTACTGGTTACGGAGAAATATCTTCATGTTTGGAATGGCAAGGATTCGAGTGTTATGAAGAAATCCAAGGTAATGACTATATATATGTATCCTGCAGCGATTGCCCTTCTGTATACGGTGGGCTGATGCCGTTGTTGGGTAGAGATCGATTTTGGCATCTCGAATTGTGCATTGGAACAGAATTATTTATTGAATTTTAAACCGATTTTGGCAATCAGATTTTCTCCAAATTTCCTTGTTATTGTCTAGGCGTCAGAACTGTCGAACAAAATCCTGCAGTACAAATTACTGAACTGCAATGCCACTGTGGTAACAATTATTAAAGACGGCGGAGTGAATGTCGAGACAGGACTCACAAGAACATTTTGGGATACTTTGGGTGGCAAGAAGACTGTGAAGGGTAAGAATAGAACCCCATTATGATTCGCTACGACTATAAATACAATAAAACAATAAATCAAATTCTGAAAACCAACCCACGTTTTGGACACTAATTATTTATAGAACTCAAAAGAGAAAAATTGTGCAGTACATTTGTCTTGTAATTATGTCATTTGCGTACGAATGACAATAAATTCAATTAATATATAATATAGCACTTCATTTGATCAATATACCTTAACCATATTACGAATTTGAAATGAATTGCAATTGACAAATCTAGTAATAACATCCTTAGTATATGTAACAGACAAGTGGGAGAAATGATTCAAAAACGTAATGCGGCAAAACGATTGGCCCTAATGTCAGTGCAGATCAATCCGTAGACGGCCATATGCCATGGCGTTTTCCTCGGAAAATGGCCAATGAACAAAATGCCCAAATTTTTGTTCATACTTCTCACTTTTAATCAATGGATTTTAACCATTATGCTTTGTTGCGCAATTAAATCGACTTGAGGTGATGTCAAATTGCTCCATCCATACATACCGTTCGATCGTACGTCTCATGTTGAAAGGGCGAAAGTTACATGAAGAACAGTTGAGCCTAATCTTGGCCATTCAAAACTAGTTTGCTAGTTTTATCTCCCCCATGATCATATTTCAAAGGCCAGTTGCATAACAAAGTTGTTAATGTACACATTTTCCCACTTGTTATTCACAATCGTCATTTTTTATGTAGGTAGCAAAGAAGCACCAAAAGATGGCGATTATGAGAAGGCAGTTGTCTCAAGCAATGTTGTTTACTCCGTGGACACGAGCACCGAACCAGCGACATTACACAAAATGTCGGAACTGTGCGGAAAAATACCGAAAATAAACATGCTGAACTCCGACAAGGTAATGAATGAATTAGGTAATGAATGAAGTCCTATCAATACTATACTGTTTTTTGTGAAGGTCCTGTATATGGAGCATCTCTATTGGAACAATGTTACTAAAGGACGAAACCTCAACTAAACCAGCATTTTATTTATGCTGGATAGTTCCATCGTCTTAACTGTTCTCAAGTAAGGACCATCCGTTATCGGTCCAGTGTTGATACAAGAGAAAACCTAAACCAAGTAACATTATTTATACTTGAAAACTCTATCAGTTCTTTTAAAATTATTCTATCTGGAAATCCAGTAAGGGGTGTCCCTTGGTTGCATGTCTAATGTAATTTCATTAGTGAATCTTAAGTAAACCATACCTGTAGATTTTATTTTTATGGTTTATGTCATTTTGGACTCTATGCCAGCCCAGCCAGGCTTAGGTACGATATTTGGAGTTGTTGGCCAGTAACTCCAGGCTATAAGATGGCTAGTTGGACATGATTTTTGGAGTTTTTGGCCAGTGACGTTAGGTTTAGAAAGGCAGCTCCATTGCGTTCACATGGCCTGTAATGCCAGAACTCATAATTCAACTACGTTATGAAGTTTTGAATTTGGAGTTAGCCCCTTACATACTATGGAAGTAGCGTCACTCCATGCTTCCCTAACCTCTGCAGCTATTAAATAAACTAACCTGATCTACAGGGTGTATCAAAATAAACGCAATCCATCTTTTGTGCTTAATAACTTTCGAAATACTATTTCTAGTTAAACGCTTTTAGGCTTACTTCAAAGCCTGTTCTTTTCTCTTTCAAACAAACTATTATCCTTGTCTCCAATGCTAGTAATAATTGCACAGGAAAAGATTTAGTAAAACCTATCATTTTAGTTGCTGTTTAATTATGCAAGTTTACTATGTTATTGTTTAGTCGGTTTAAATGTTAGAATTTTCTTCTTTAAACTTTAATGTTGTCGTCACTACATCTGGAAAACCAAGTAAGAACAAATTAAAAGTATTTGAAAAGAGACCAGATTGTTTGAAAATCCTAAACGAATGCTAAAAATCGTCAAAACATTCTGGTGTCTGAGCCAGAGTGTCATCGAATTGCGATGTAATGTAAACAGAAATTATAGCAAGTTGATGTCAGTCAGCTTAGATGGTCCAAGCCGAAATTATATCGCATTTGAAGTTTCAAACTGAGTTACAAATAGTGGAAGAAAAGCCGTAATTATACTTATTGTTACAATCCATTTAATAAAATGCAACATTTTTTTGTTTTAATGAAAAATCAGTTATTTTCATGAGAACGATTTGTTATTCCATCTCAATTTTTTTAATCTCCAATCGCAATAACGTAAAGTATTATTACCCGCGAACCAATGAGTCAAATTTAAGAAACAACCCACTGTTAGAAAGCTGAATG